ACGTCAATAAATCCTAATTTATGTCATATACCTAGTAACATACAAATCTGTTTTTTTTTATCTGAAAAAATAAAAAAGTTATAGGGGGTGAGCCACTTTTGAGACGACCCGGTATATTAAAAAATATTGTTTCATAATGTAATATCATTTTAAAATTCTTGTATGTTATTTTAGATTCTGAAGATAATTTTAGAATAAACCGGAATATATTTTTAATAAAAACATTATTAATTATTAACAGGGTTATAATTATGATTTTGTTACAATGTAAGTAAGTAAATAATGTAATGTAAGAGAAAAAATTCAGATTTTACATTTTACTAAATTTCTTGCAAATTTGGCACTGGCGAACCATATTTTATAGTTCTTGAACAGAAATAGTCAATAAAATAAACACTTAAGGACTACAAGCTAAGAAAATGCGTTAATACAGCCGGGGACATAGCGGCAACAAAGCTTTACCGCACACGTGCGACGCGTACTACAAGGTAATAAACTTAGATTAAGAATAAAAATAGATAGAGCAAGTCATTCATAAATTCACAAAATCGAGGTGCCTACATCGTTTTATCGGTGAGTGCCCCCACTACCCTAGTTTATGGACAGCGGGGTAAAGAGGAAAGTGGTAGGGGAGTTTACAGCAGAAGAGCATCAAAACAGAATTTAACTTTGAGATATCATTGATGAGTAAAGTAAAAGTCAGAGATATAGAAGTAGGTGGTTAGAGGCAAAGATAAAATATTTTTTAATAATAAATTTTAAAAATATGTTCATGCAATAAAACTAATAAATTATTATAAATACATAATAGTATAATTAAAAAGCACAAAATTCATCTTTTCCTACCTATACCATAAATATATTCGGTAATTTTAATTGGAAATATTAGCACAAAAACTAAAAAAAACAATGTTCTATAGTTTTCAAATTCATATTAGTAAGAGAGTAATATTTTGACCAAACGAATTCTCAATGTAAGGATATTTAGATACCATATAATTTTACATTAATTAGGTATTAATCATAACACGATATTAATAAAAAATACAAGTGTATTTTAATAATATATTTAGGGACTAAGTAAAAATATATATGTATAATATTCTTACTACTGCTACTATATACTATACTTACTTGCTACTTGTACTACTTACTTACTTGTACTACTTACTATATACTATTATTACTTATATATATACTATACTTACTACATTTATAGGTTCATACTAAATAAAATATTGTAGCCTGAAAAAAATATATTTTGTTAAATGCCACTGTAAGGATCCAAGCAGAAACTAATTTCTCATTGGCTTGTTACTTGTTAACATATGTATTTGCATAACAAATAACATAGTTATAGCAAATAGTCTAAAAAAAACGGCAAAGGCGGCTGGGGAATGACGATTGATAATTTAGCGAGGTTAATCTTAAATTACACCATTTAAAAATCATTTTTACTTAATGTAAAAATAAATTACAACCTTAGAGCGCCTTTAAAAAATAGTACGAGCCAAGAAAATGACCTCTAGGGCTTGACCTCGCTGAAATTATCATATTTTCATTCCCCAGTCGCCTTTGAAGCCGTTTTTTTTCGATCGTATGGTTTCCTAACTTATTCAATCAATCAATCATTTATTTATTTCCATAAAACAATGTACAATTGTATAGGAATAGTCAATAAATTCTTAAAGCTAACACAAATATATAATACAAAGATACAAAAACAAACACAACAGATCATAATAAAATTATCTAATACGTAGGCTTCATATTATAATTTGCATGTATTCCTCCACACTATAAAAGTTCATTCCCAACAAATAATTTTTTAAGTAAAAGTCTAGAATATGCGATTCCAATCACTATCATAATTTGTCTCTCAACAAAAGTAATTCTGTAGCTCTGCCTAAGGTTCACATCTCTCACTATTTTGCATAGTAGCATTACGTCAATTTTAAACATGTTGTAAAGGACCAATTTCATATGCACTATGTAATTAAAGTAACGACTTCCACACCATGAATATCTTCACTTCCTAAAACAAAATATAAACATGAAGTTGGTGAATATAAATATCTACATTGAGTATACATTGTGAGCAAAATAAAATTGACAATCAATGACATTCACCACATAAATTTACATTTTATAAAATTACTTAAATCTTGCTTTCAAAGCCAACCCAAACGCTGTTTTTTTTTGTGGTGAGATCTTATACAACTATAGTGTAATTTTAGTAAAATAATACTAATATAACATTTTTATATACAAATCTATATACATATAGGGTAACACCTCTCATAGGACGCGAAGGCTCCAAGGAAAATGAAAGTTAATTTGTATGTGACTTGATTGATTTCTAAACCCTCCATATGTTCTCAAAATTTCATTTCAATACAAACTTCCAACAACAAAAATCCTTGAAACCTTCGTATCGTATGAAAGGGACCACCCTGTACACTTTGAATCTGTGTATACATATTAGTATATAGTAGTATTTTATATTAAAAAATTAACTGTAAATATATATGTACTTACATATTGTGACGGAATAGGTATCCTATAACAAGATCATACTTCTTATCTCGTTATCTGCAGGATCCTGATATCTTAATGTTAATTTCCTAGGTGATGTTAAAACAACTGAAACACCATAAATCGCGACATAAATGGCTGTGAAAATTCATCAGTTTTTAAATATTTTCTTCAATTCCTTATAAAAAAATCAGCTGTTCTTGAGTTCTCTTTTGCTCGACTTTTTAATATTATGCTATGAATAAATCCTAACAGAGAAAACCATTTAATTTTTCTCTCACTATCTTTTAGAAATCTGAAATAAATTATTTATGTTAGTAATAGATAGTTTCGCAACCGTAAATAGGCAATATTTTTTTTTATAAATGTAAACATACCAATTATTTGTATTCATAATTAAATACAAATATAGGATTTTAAATCGGACAATATTGTAACAAAAATATAAACATTACTTCTTATAATATACATAATATATTATATTCACAAAATTATATTATAAAACAAATAGGTAAATAAAACGAGATGCTGTATTACCACAGAACAGTACTTACTTTTGAAATGACACTCCACGATGTTTAAATTCTTTAATTCTCACACATTTCCCAGTGTAGACCCATTTTAAATGCTAATTTTGGTCCTTTATATAAAATGAAACAATTATACATTAATAGTTTATTAATAGTTAAGAAATATGGAAAAATAAAAGCTGACCATGCCAATCAGCTGTTTATTGACACTGTTGGCCGCGTCCAATTCCCCTACTATAGAAAATACTATAACAACAGAGCGGCGTTGTCAGATTAAAAATTAATCCTAACGGCTCATGAAAAATGACGAAATTTACAAATATTTGAAAGTTTATTTTTCTTGTAATCTTAACTGAATCTTAATAAAGTAGGTATGGGGCCACCTTAGCCCAAGGTCAACCCCCATTTTCTCCCTAAATTTAGGGAAATTTTCCCGTCCATAGCGGCCCACCCTATGTAAATCTTATAACATGGGTTATATGTAATTTCCCTAAATCTTCTGATTTTTAGATTTTGCAAGTCGCATTTTCATATACATCCGGCAACGCTTACGTATCGCCGACCGCCAAATTCTAGTCGGCCTAACTCCGGAAAACTAACCAAGCGCGCACCTTATTCGGGTTAGCTACAAAAGAAAGACTGTAATTTGGCTCCATTGTTCTTCATCGGTTTAAAGCTGTCTCAAAGGTATAGACCGTAGGTACAATTAAATAACGACTATGTCAAATATCATAGTCATTATTTAATTGTACTCCCACGCCTTATACCTATTAACCACAGTGAAGAAATATACCAAAAATGTTATTATTAACTAATTATGCATTAACAATGGTGTTTAATTGAAAGAAAAACATAAAACAAAACAGTAGTAATTAAAACAAAAAAAAAAAAAAAATTTCCTATAAAAAATAGAGATTAAAGGAAAAAGTTTTCATTTAAATCAGGTAAACAACCGCTGGTCATCTGTCATCGACTTCGGCAAACATCGGTTATTTTCGTGTAACTCCTAAAATATTTACACAACGCCATATTGGGTGTGGTTCTTCCTATACATGTACCCTTATCCCACAGAAAAAAATCACTTAAAATGAAAAATACGCTTATAATAATAATTTTACTAGGGAATTAAAATTAATTTAAGCTTGTGAACATTATAAAATTATAGATGAATAAAAAATATAATCTAAAATATGTTTTCTATATAACACCCATATACCATCACGCTATAGGCCCATGTACAAATATGCCGAAAAAAATAGTTTATACCAAAAAAACACAGAATCCTTAAAAATACGGACCTACCTGAGTTTACAGTTATTATCCACATACTCCGTTAAACAGGTACTTAACACACGAAAATCACTCTTCGATATCACACACTTTTAAGCCCTTTTCACTAAACACACTCAAAATAACCACAGAAAATTTCTTGATTCCAAAACCGTTAGAAGTTAGAAATGAACTAAAAAGCGACCAAATATATACGACCGGCGATTAAATTGGTTTTCTATACACGGAAGTTACCGATAAGACCGCTAACACGCTTTACCACAAACAGAAATTATGTATATTATAGATACAGGGTGTTTAAAATACATAAAAACGATTAAAATATAAGTGTTAAAAAGGGTGATTCGAATTTAGCCCAAAATTTCATCACCCTAACGCTGCACACGGCACCACACACCACTCTGCACACGTCACTACAGCTGTCAAGGTATAAAAAAGGATGACACGACGAACGACGAGTCCATTCAGTTCTCGTCGAGACTTTGCAGGTGTCACATCGTAGTACCAGCAGCGTTTAACATAACCTCAAAAATGAGAAATTATTAATTGTGATTAAAGATCATGAAAAAAGTTCCTCGTTTCGGTCTTACCTGAATCGTAAGATGGAATTAAAATAAGAATTCAGTGCCCAGTGATGAAGACCCAATGAAGTGGGTGAAGGGGGCTGTAGAAGACATTTTGAAGAAAGGGACCGAAGGCATAGGCCCAAATGATCAGGTTGGATTCAATTTTTGTTCCAAAGATTTTGCAAGAGGCGATGGATGGATCAATTTTAAAACGGCTAGTGAAGTAACTTTCGACGATGTGTGGAAAATGATATCGGGGATATATCAATCAAACAGCACTGGGTTAAATACCGAAACTTTCTATTGCGATTCAAAACAGTCCAACTTATATAGATGCATTCAAAGCGCTGTCATAATAAACAATATTACTAAAAGTATTAATAAACAAAAATGAGAATAAAAACAAAAAATAAAATAAAAGATAATTTGTGCCTTCCCCGAGCTTTGGTTGTGGCTATTGCGCACGCTGATAAGGATCCTATTTACACTAAAATAAGAAAGGACACAGGAAAAATCCAAACGGAGAAGACCAGGTTATTAATGGAAGCTGTAGGTGTTAATATTCCAGCAGAAGGAGCCGGAATTCCAGAATTACAGAAATTCCAACAGTATTTGGTAGACTACCAAATTATAGTGTACCAGTACGGGTCTAAAGGTCGAGATTTGGTTTTTAAAGGCGAAGAAAAAAACGAAAAAGCTCCACCTACTGTACCATGAAGGGCACTATAACGTCATTACATCATTGACGGCGGCATTTTGTTGTCGTTATTATTGTGAAGAGTGTAACGTTCCTTACAATAGTAAAAATAGACATAGGTGTGGCGGTACATGCGCGGGGTGTCAACAATCTCCCTCCTGCCCAATAGACAATATGAAAATTAAATGCCATGACTGCCTTCGTTCGTTCAGAGGTCCAACATGTTTCGAAAACCATAAGAAACTTGGGTCGGTAGGGAAAAGGTTCGTATGTGCAAGTTTAAGAAATGCCAGATGCCTATCCTATTCAATAAAGGCTGAGTAGACCACATACTTGGCGAGAAGTTCTTTCAGTTGCAAAAAACACCAGCCACAGCCGCACCACTGTTACATGCAGCAAGATACGGTGGGTAACCCATATGAAAACACGTATTTATTTTTACGACCTGGAAACAAGGCAGGAAAAGAAGCTGGAAGACGGAACCATACTTCATGAACCTAACCTATGTGTTTATAGAAAGGTTTGCGACAGTTGTATTGACAAGAACAATAGTGTTGTGTGCCAAAAGTGTGGGGAAAAGACAAAAATGATTAAAAAATAATGCGGTAAATTAATTTAAGGGATATTTTTATACTCAGGGAAACAAATTCAAGGATGTGGTGGTGCTAGCACATAACGGTGGAGGGTTTGACCATCAATTTATTCTAGATCATGTTCTCCAGCAAACAGACCTAACACCTGAACTTATCACCCGAGGTACCAAGTTAGTTCTCATGGTTGTAGGTAACGTCAAATTCCTGGATTCCCTCAATTATTTCCCTATGGCCCTTGCGAAACTACCTAAAGCGTTCGGTTTGACAGAGTTGAAGAAAGGATATTTTCCCCACTTATTCAATACCGTAGGACATCAAAAGTATGTAGGACCAATGCCCGCTATAGAGTATTACGACCCCGATAATATGAAGACTGAAGACAGGGAAAAGTTTATTAAATGGTACCAGGAACGTGTAGCTGAGAACTACATGTTCGATTTCGAGAAGGAGTTTATTGAATATTGCGTATCTGATGTCGACATTCTCACGCAAGCCTCCCTCAAATTCAGAAAACTCATGATAGACGAGGGGAACGTGTGCCCATTTACCGAAGCCTCAACACTACCTAGCACATGCAACAAGATTTTCCGCCGCAATTTCCTCCAACCCGAGACTATAGGTATCATACCGAAAAACGGGTACAGGTTATGCGACAATCAAAGCAAGATCGCTCTCCAATGGTTATTGTGGAAGGAGCAAGAAAGAGGTGTTGAAATTGTACATGCTGCAAAACAACAGGAGAGAGGTGTAAAGTCGTGGTATAAAGTCGATGGGTATTGTAAGGAAACCAAGCAGGTGTTTGAGTTTCACGGATGCTATTACCACGGGTGCCCTAGATGTCACAAGTACGAGCGCCAGGTACCGCTCAAAGACGACCCTACACAGACATTGGATTCCCGGTACGAGAATACAATTACGAAAACCCAGCATTTAACGGGGCAAGGTTACGAGGTGATTGAAATGTGGGAGTGTGATTTCCGACGTGATATGGACGATGAAATCAAGCAATATACCGAAGACCATCCTTTACTTGTCAACTTACCACTAAATCCGCGCGACGCTTTTTACGGGGGTCGCACGGAAAATATGAAGACGTACTACAAGTGCCGGGACGGGGAACAAATCAAATACGTCGATGTCTGCTCACTTTACCCGTGGGTAAACAAGTATGGAAAGTACCCTATAGGACACCCGGAAGTCACGTTTGGGTGAAAAGGTGTAATAAACTTTAACTGCTTGAAAACAAGGACTGATAAATGCCAGAATTTACCACCCCCAACAGTTGATCACCCCTTATGCCGGTTAAATTGAACGATAAACTTCAGTTTCGTGTTGTGTTACACATGCGCAAAAGTCGGTGCTAAAGAATGTAGACATAGTGATGAAGAAAGAACAATTAGCGGTACGTGGGTTATTGACGAAGTGGTGAAGGCGTTGGAAAAAGGATATATAATACTAGACATTCAAGAAATATGGAAATATAAGGTAACCCAATATAATCCGGAGACGAAAGAAGGGGGTTTGTTCAACGGGTAGCATTATAAGTTCTGAAAAATCAAACAGAATCGTCAGGCTGCCATCATACTGACAAAAACACCGGAATCCAAAGATTCATAACGTACTAATACCTGAAAAGGAAGGCGTTACGCTAAACCCGGAAAAGGTTTCTGTAAATCCTGGTCTTAGGCAACTTGGAAAAGCCGTCATCACATCGTTTTGGGGCAAGTTATGTCAGAGGGAAAACCAGGGAAAGACGTCTATTGTCAACAGACCAGAAGTCTTGTTTTCCATGTTATCTAACCCTGCAACAGATGTCAACTCCATAGTGCCTGTGAACGACGATACCCTGCTGGTAAACTGGGTATTCAAGGATGAAGCCTACGATGTTTTACCAACAGTAAATGTATGTTTGGCAGCCTACACAACAGCCCAGGCCCGGCTGAAATTATACAGTTACCTTGAAAAAGTCGGGGATAACGCTATTTACACAGACACGGATAGCGTTATTTACCTATCGAAGGCAGGGCAAGAAGATATCCCGCTTGGAAATTTTCTTGGTGAAATGACCGATGAGTTGGAGGGGTATGGTGAGGGTAGCTACATTGATGAGTTTGTATCGGGAGGACCTAAGAATTACGCGTATAAGGTATATTCTCCTAAATCCGGGGAGTATTCCATAACGTGTAAGGTTAAAGGTCTCTCCCTAAACTACAACGCCTCTCAAACCATCCAATTTGAAACCATCTATTTAATAAATCCATTTTTTAGCAGAAAGGCCCAACCTATCCCCAATATACATGCAGATACGAGAACTGGGATCACAAGTAATAACCACACATGCAGACCAAAGCTCTACAGGACCGTCTGTCAACAAAACTGGAAATTCACGAGAAGGTGTTCTGTTAACCGTGGTTTTAAAAAAATTAGACATGAGAAAAACTGTATTTAGTTCATACTTTAGTATCATATTATTTGTATATATAGTGTTTTTTTAGTATTATAATTAATTATATTACACACCCAGTCTATATTGGGAACCTCCATTTTATATTTGTATTTTTTTTTTTTTTTGTATTATTTGTATTTTACTTATACAGTCTGTACTTATATAAACCTATATTAGATGTCAGTTTAAGTTCTAATTGTTATCATAAATATTAGGATTTAAAGCTTTATACAGACTATGTAGAAAATTATGTTTTTATATTTATTTGTACTAACACACATTATTATACTTGTATATTATACAGAGTATAGAAATAATGATACTTTAACAGTAATTGTTATGTTTACTATACAAACTGTACTCATACGTATATTAGATTTAGGTTCTTTAGTTAGACGTTGTAGATAAACATTATCATTTTACTGTCACGTTATATTTTATATTAGACATAGAGTGTATAGATAAATAATGTTACATAAACACGAATGTTATTAGGATAATTTCTTGCGCATCCGCCACAACAGCAAAAACTTTATCAGTCTTAACAAGTTCTTCTAGAGAAGAGTAGAGACGCACAGATAAACATTAACACTTTATTATATAGTATACACTAATGTTGTTACTAATACGTTGTTATATTCATCAATATAAGAATTATTAATAACAACCTTTTTTTCTTTATAATCCTACAAACCATTAATAGCTGCAATTACAATTTAAGTATTTTTTCCTAACATAAATAATCATTTTATTATATATTTATTTACACATAAAAAAAATACAAAAAAAAAAAAAAAAAAAAAAAAAAAAAAAAAAAAGATTTTAGTAAAAAAATAGTTTTTTTTTTTATTCTAAATAAAACAATTTTTCATTTCACTGTGTATTTATTTTCCACATTTCTCTCATCTAGAAATTATAAAAAATAGGTAAACAATATTCAATAATCTTCCCAATCAATACTAATTCCTATCTTGAATTATCTCAGCACTTTCACTTCTTCTTCAAAAACAAGATATTAATAGATTTAAATTATTGAGTTAAAATGTTTTATGAATATAATCAATAATATATGAATTAATTACAGTACAAGAACATATTTCTAGCTATGATAAATTACAATTTATTACTGATATTATAAATTGTTCTAATTTCGGCTAACAGTCCAGAGTAAATTCCAAAGTTCACTATACGGGGTGGATCAAGATTCATTTCGTTGTACGTGCAACAGAAGAAATCCTTTTTTATTATTTATGTACCTTTAAACGAAAAACCATATCGACACCTTCCAATTCCTCCTGTATTATGTCATACATCGCCTTATAGGGTAAATACTCTGAATTATAAGGGATTCCATGAACATTGTGAAATATATAATTTTTTTTTTTTTTTTAATAAAATATGTAAATTGGTTAGGTCAAAATGTCAAAACGTATAGTTTCATTTTCTTTTCCATCTTATAATGAATATAATCACTTAGACCATCAAATTTCGGAATGGAAAATCCTTGTACATATATAACAACGAACTTCATCGTATCAATGTCTTGCAGCAACTTATTAAATTAGCGTTCTAACATATCCTGATAAAGGTAAATATTCCATGACTCGATCGTATATGATGATACAAAAGCTCGGGTGTTTCGGTATTTAAATTTATACTTTTATTTTTTTTTTTTTTTTTTTTTTTTTTTTTTTGTTTATATCAATACTAAATATCTTTACATCTATCACATTACTTTTCAGAGCCTCGTTTTGTTTTGAACAATCAATTACAAATAGGGCTCGACTGGCAAAAGCGGTAAAATCTAGCAAAAGCTCGCTATTGATCTTTCCCAAAATACATTTTGAAAAATCCGTATACGTAGAATAGGCTTTAGTAAACTGTCTTGGTTTTAAATAAATCTACCATGATTTCATATGGGTAGCCTCGGAATTTAGAAAAGCTGACATCTGTAATTTTCCAAATTATCGAAATATGCCATCAGCTTTATCTTTTCGATCTTCTTGGAAGAATACAACAACATATCTCGCTCGTTCAGATTCTGCCTTCACTGTCCATACATCTTTTCTCGCCTGTCGTAGTGCAGGTAGTTCATGAATTTCCAATTTCCTAAATCCAATAATACCGGTTTTACCATTGGAAATTCTTCAATACAATGTTTAATTCACAAATCGTTCGGGTAGAATATGTTTAATCTTAACTCGAATTCAAAATGGTATGTCTGCTTTCTTGTTTCCCTCTGAATTAACATAACAATTATCATCCTTTTTGGCACGTACAAGCTTTAATTTCTGCGTTCCCATAATAGCGCTAGTATAATCGGAGAAGACGTTCAATAGGAAATTCAATGGTATAGGATTGACTAAATTATCCTTGTGTATAATTGTAGCAATATGATTTCACAGTACCGTTCGGCCATTTCCATCCCGCCACATCAAGGGCAGTACTTTAATTTTGATTGAGACACAAAAAACTTTTAACGGATACTTATAAACCCGATCTTCGACATTATACGATATACTTTTCCATTCCAATTCATACGTTATCGATTCAAATAGAAATGCTCCAACGTTATTTGTCAGGGAACATTTTCCTGTTTTCACAACTGTCGATACTTCTTCCAAAAATTTCGCCTCAATGTATAATTCAGCTTGGCTAATATCCATAAACACATCCTTTTGATTAATAACAATTTCTATCTCACGCGTTCTTAAATGATTTTGGTGAACGGTTGATACTATGCCATTCTTCTCGAACCAATGATTTCAATCTATCGTTGACGGTTGGTAATATTTGAGTTTCTAACGAGTCCATATCTGCGATAATATGGTAAGCGAAGTATTACTTCTTGACGTAGCTCTGCTTCGGCACGTACAAGTACTAACTATTGATTCTCTGATCTGGTATTAAATAGTAAGTTTAAAGTTATACCATTCTTTTTAAGCCTCCAAACGTATAACAATATCTTCACCTCTAAAGTTGACCGGTCTTAATTCCTATCTAATATATCCAATGCTAATGTTATCAATTAAAATTTCTATTTACTGGAAGATAGATTAGATTCCTGGGTTCAATAATTATACTATAGCCAGGATATACGCTAGGACTAAACTCGTACAGTGTATGAGATGAATTATTAATGTATACGATCCAATACTGAATATGCACTCTATACGTATTGTCTACCACAGAAAAATTTCCACCAAGGTATATCTGATTTGTCAATTATTTGTTGGCACTAAAGACTTGTGAAAATTTAATATTTTCCAAACTATCTTCAGCGTTGAAAATCTAATCTAGAAACACGTTTATTTTCACACTTTAGTGTACTTATTATTAGTAAGTTGTAACTTTATAACGGGTTTACTCTTAGAACTTAGCTCTTTTTGCAAATACTCTTCAATTAAAAAAGGTCCCGAAATCTCCGTAAATCCTGTTGGAATTTCATTATTTCTTTATCTCGTAAACAGAATAATGGAAACTTATTTCACCTGCGTTCAATATTCGGTATGAATTCCAGTTACTTGAGAGAGATCAGACTAGAGAAAACTGTAATCTAGAACTCGAGTTCTATTTGGAGGGATTAATGTCACGCTTAAAACAAGCCTAGAACACCTTATCTAGTGTGAATTCTGAGACATGACTGATTGGAATTAAAACACATGCTTTATAAAACACCCTGTAAAAAAAAAAAAAAAAAAAAAAAAAAAAAAAAAAAAAAAAAATTATAATAATTATATGAAAAATAAAAAAAAATAATATAATATATTTTAACATTTCTTGAAATTATCGAACAATTTAACTAATTTGGGTTAAAATTTCCAATAACTATCAAAAAACACAACTTTACCCTTGTTTTTCTATATGCTACCCAATGAGTTCCATCTCCTTCAATCTCGTCCAAATTTACAACACCACACTCGTTCGTTCTAGGTGTTTGTGGTAGAGCATTTCGCATAAATACTCCTCTGAAGTTGACAATTTTTAATTTCTTTACATATTTCTGTATATCTAGGTTAGAAAAAGGTCGATTGGGTAGCTTTATTGGTAGTTTTTGGCAATTGCTTCTAAGAAAATTAATCATATCCTGCTGATGTTGGGCAAGGTATAATCCGCTTCCTCTTTAACCCAACGCAATGGCTTCCATGGTTTCGTTATGTCGTTGAAATTCCTTTAATTTATCTCTTGCCGCTCGGCTATCTTCTACAGCTTTAGCGACAGAGGCAGCGCCTCCGGTAAGAGCTCCCAAAGCACTTAAGCCTGCGAAGAGCGGAATAAGAGGCAAAATGCCTCCGACTTTAGGTAATGGTATAACTCTAGGTAGTTTAACTTTTCTTCTTCCACCAGCTTGTTTAACACTCATGCGAGCTGCTCTCAGTGCTAGTTTAATATCATCCTTGAGAAGAGTGCCAATAACCATAATGTTTAATATGTCTCTTTACTTTATTAGCAATAAAAGATTTGAAGGGTTTTCGTTTAACACCCATACCAAGCTTTCGTTTTGTTTTCATTGCGTTTGTAACAAGCCACGCAACACTTTTTTCTCCGATATTAGAATCCAAAGCTTTAACTCTTTCCCACGCTTTTTCCTCCAACACTTTATCAGCTTGATGTCGTCGATTCAAATCCTTTTCTTTCGAGTATGCGATATCGTGCTCCTTACACGCTCGATCTAATTCGTTTATACCTGGATCTCCTCTAGCTAATCGTTTAGCAAGCTTTGTTCCCGGACCACAATACTGGTAACCAGGTAAATGAAGTTCAAATGGTAATTTATTGATAGCCCTATTTAAGAGACCTTTACCCTTTGACGTTCTCATTACAACTGAAGACGTGATCGAATAACCAATCGCTCATTAATCGTGAAAAAAAATGAGAAAATTTAAACAGACACAATCGATATTGATGTTTGTAATTTCGATATCGCACAGGGTGATGCTAGAAATCGACATAGCGATCTATTACCAAATACTATAAGTGCTATTAATCTGTGGCCCATGAAAATTCAGGAAAAACAATGTAGTTAGTCTTTTAACAGATCCAAACGTACTTCGGTTTGAGAACGTGTATGTTTACTCAAAGTCTCTCTTTCAATACAAATACACATTTCGCACAGGTTTGTATCGTATTTAAAGTGTAATTTTACTTACGATACAGACTGATAAACTACCTAGTGTATTGACCGTAAACGCCCAAAACGCTCGACTCTGCTTCATATTACGATGATGTAGGCTTGTGAGGAAACAAGATAAAATTTAGAAATTATTTTGCCGAGCTCGTCACAATGCAATCGTCTCGTTTTACCTCTGTCAGACCTATTCAAAGATCCCTAAACAATTGGTCGAGAAATGTCTAAAGAGTATACTTTTCAAGCAACATGATACTAAATCTTAGGCAGTGGTATGAGATCACGTAGAAATTACAGACATCGATAAACATGTTTAAGATAATGTT